TTGATACAATGTAGCAACACTCTCGAGAACGCTGTAAAATGCTTCTTTATTCTGTGGAATTACCACCAAAAGTCGATACAATTGGTTATTGATTATGCAAAACAAAATCCACTCAATCATGCTGCCGATTATGCGTCATTGAAGCATAGCAATGGATCCTTGGTTGCCTTGCTGCTAAGACACCGATTAAAAAGTCCTCTGCGATGGTGCGCCGACAGCGTATGAAGTCCATTTGAAGGCAGATGACAAGCGCTTTGATATGAGGCGTCTATACGGTCTGATAAAGCATAAGCTCATCAGTGGACTGAGAACAGCAAGGGAGTCGAGTGGCATGACTAAAAAAGATTCCAGAATCGGATGACGGTAGAGGCCGAATTGTGTGCAAATGTAGCACAGCAGGCTGACGGAGAAGAGGCAGGGAAGTACAGCCTGATAGGTGAGCGCCTGCAAAACCATGCTTATAGTGATGTTAAATCTAGGATGACTTCTGTGTAGTGCCTTACTTTAAAGCGTGTGAGTTATAAATTCAGATCTGCGTTACAGAAATACCGCCATGCTAATCAAAATGAACTCTTTCATCTAATATAGAGTAATTGGACGTTATATTATGTTAACGGCAAACAGAGGAGACTTCTATTTAATGCCCAACCAAAGGCTTAATTTAGCGATGTATCCCCATGCTACTCATGGATACTTCCTTCATCTAAAACAACCGAGCGTTCTGGCATATGTGGCAAGTCGATGCTATCTCATATTGTAAAAATTATGGCTTTGCTACCGTAAACCCTACCCGTTCGCTGTGGCAAAAACAACGCGAAACTGAAGGTGCTGTTTACCAAACACTAAGAAGTGGATTTACTTACTTACTAGACGTCCACAGTTTTCAGACAGTGCGATCAAAGCATCTCTCCCTGATGGTGGCCAACCCAGCCATTATCTCTCTATGCTCTTCTACTCAAAAATAATTATGGTTACGCTCTCTCTGCTCGCAGGGGGCTATCCTGTTCATCCTTTCCTATCAATCGCTCAATCACGACGCTAGAGCTGAAAAGAAAAAGAAGTTTCGCTTCTGTGCAGATTTGAAGAGAATGTATACTCAAACTCTACACTCCTCATCCCTGAGCAAGAGTAGGCGTGGCATTTGAACGAGTCACGGAATCGGTTATTCGTGTAATATTCCAGTCTGGAACTTCTGCCTCCTTATTCTCTGTTCGACAGAGTCACAACAACCATTGCGTCAAGATAAAAATATCCCACCAGAAGCACAGCCACCTTCAAGTTTAGTTGAGACGCGCAGCCACGCTTACCCGATCTCAGGGATTTCGAGAATACAATGGATCGCACACGGATGACTGACAGATCTCCAGTCACTCTGATGAAAAGCACGACTAAGACTGATTACTATAAAATGAAACTTTTTATAGTGGGTTCCCCCACCTTGAGTAAATCGTTGTGTAGCACCTTGGTGTTCTCCGACAGTGTATGCGTTGAAAGAATAGCGACAATTCGTTTTCTCAATATCAGAATACCAATCAAAATTGGTATCATTGGCGTAGTCATAACTAAAACTGATGCTAGTGTCTTCCACTCGAAAATGCAGGCGTGACCGGAGACTACTTTGTTGGTAATATCGTAATGTGGCAAACGCTGCGTCAAAATCACAATAATGTCTGGCGCAGGCTGATTCGCGAAGCAAGTGAGGATCTGGAAAAAGAATATGGATGACAGCTAACAATTCGTTTGTTAATTCTGAAAACACATTTCTTAGAATTCTCACAAACAGAAGTTGTGATGGCATAGAAATGAAGAAAATGACACGCTTGAGCGACGTAGCATGATAGGATTGTGCTTTTGTTTTAACACTAATATTGTACAGGACGACTAAGCACAGAGAGTACAGCGAATGAGTAAAGAATGAAGCCATCGCACAGTACCTAAAAAGTGCCACTTTTAATCTGGTAACTGGCGTGCAGTGCGTGAAGTGCAATGTGCAGTATTTCTGCGCAGTTGCCCACTCAGATGCGCTATGCAAAAGTGTCCTTCAGTCTGTGCTAAATGTCAGATTCATTTCCAAGAATTCAGATACGTGGCAACTCCGGGGCCCAGGTTTTTAAGATCTGTTCCAAGACACAATGTAATAGTGGCCACAGAAAAAAATTAGTAATTAAATTGGCTGCTTTGGCCTGTTAGTACACGATGTCACACATACAGTTACATATCATTTGTGAATGGAGATATGGCTGTGTTTCTTTGAAACCACGGCCACTTGCATGTGCATTGACGGGATTGTGTCTAATGTTCGAATTGAAGTATCTCTGATACATCTCCTTTAATGTTACACTAACGCGTTCGTACTGCAGGATATAGCCAAGACTATCTGTCGATTCTTGGAGTAGATGGATGTGGATGGATTTGACTCTCTTTTTCTCTCGCTTGCACGCGACGGGAACCATTCCCTAAAGGTCTGAGCAGTTTGCACGTAAGCTTCAACGACGGTTGCTCATAGATAAGTCACTATTTCGGTTTTTTACAGGGTTTCCACGTAAAATGGTCAGACTTATCAGTATAATACTTCGAGGAAAAAACGTTCCAATCTTGATATTGTTGAGAAATTTTCAGCTTACCCTATGTAGCAACCTTGCGCTCCCATCATGCCACATGGCCCATATGAGATATATATCAAACTCGTTCCTATCGGGATTATTCTGAAAAGGTTGATTGAAGCATCGACAAACATTGTACAATCGATTTCACCTCTGCTGAACGAAAAACGACATGAAGCAGGCCAAGAAATCTGTTACGGCCATGTTTGCAATCAATATACTGTACAGTTTGAATTGAGAAGGAGTCCGGAAGAGTACAAAGTAAAAGGAGAAATAGGTTGAGTATCATCCCAGCAGGATCGCATATCGAGTGGAAGAGGACTGCGATGAGCTCGGCAGTGTCCATCAGAGGCACAGTTTGGTGCGCTTTCTCTAAATACTTCATCAAATTAAACAAATAATCAATCTCTGAAAAAAATTATCATAGTATTCTGCTTTAGTTTGTTCCACCAGATGTAAAATAGACTCATCTGAGTCAGTTTATCTTACGGATCTCGTGACCAAGACTTCCTAACTTATATAACTCACATATTTTAGAACAAAAGCGGTTCTAGCGGTTGCGAGACCAGGAAACGGAGAAGTTTAGAGCTCTCTGATTCACTGAGTTTTCCAAATGAGAGCCTCACTCATCTAGAAGACTGAGAGACAGATGTGTCCAAACAAAGATAAACTGACAAGGAAGTGTTATAACTCTGCCTGAGATCCACTACTTTTCAGCATTTTCTGTTTCCTTTGAGATTGATTCCGTATGAGTTCCCTGTAAAAACAGGACAAACTGTCAATAAATACGCAGTGTGAGAAGAGACAAGATGTTTCCATCTTTCTGGATAGCAAAAACTGGATGCTAAACAAAGGCTGAACAGTCCGATTAGTATAGCTGCTGACAAAGGGAATCTCCTTGATTATTAGGTAATACAAGCCGAAAGCTTCATAAACAAGTTCGAAGAGAGACATTGCTCTGTACAGTATTCCGTGAAGTACAGGATCAAAGGCGCTAATCTGTGAGTTCGTTTTACACATCAATGGCTCGTGAACTGTGCATAGTTGCACACAACTAACAAGAATTCTTCAATGAGCTCATTGGAGTATTCTTCATTTCCTGAATAGCGTCATGTCGGATTAGCCACCTCTCGGGCTTGAATGATTCTATAAATGCACACACGATGATGCTTGTTATGATGGTCTTTAAAGAAAAAAAAAACTACTCAGGTAAGAATTCGGCGATAAGCTATTAATAAGGTGCTACGACGTGCAGACGAGGATATGTGTAACTGCGGCAACAAAAAGGCGGCTCAAGAGCGACTTCGACAGGATACAATCTTCAACATTCTCAGTTCCGTCTCTGCCGCTACAAAATAGATAACGCATGAAATAATAAGAACTGATAAAGATCTCAGTGTCAAAGGAAAGAGCCTGTTTCATCTTTTTTTCCATATGATGTCAATAGAATACGGCAAAGAGGAACCCAGTTCTTCAATTTCTTCTTGTTATCTACCCAAAAAATCATCTGTGGAATGGAAGAGCCCTGCTCCGCCCTATCGGCTTCAGAATGCGGCTCGTCATAAAGGCCCAGACGCAGCCGCAACCGTAAACATGCCAATGCTGTGACGCGCTCGGAGTTGTCACTGGAAGATGATGAACGATATCTAGCAGTTGGATCCCATGAAGGTTATGGGACTGCTTCCCGGTGATTACGGGTCTTCTTGTCGTTGCCCGCCTGCAGTAGCAGACAAGAACTGAAAACTTCTAGACTAAGGGGTGGTCTTAGTTCAAACACTGCAACAGTTTCTGATTTACTAAATCGCCGTACAATACAAGGCAACCTTTAGTCGTTATATGGGTTATGCTCTATTATTTCTGAGTTGTATAAGTGTAAACACTTATGCGGCTGTCAATCACAATATGTCTTCAGTTCCCATATCGCTATATTACAAGCTAGCCTATAGCTCACAGCGGAACGTTGGCAAGCCGCCATAGCCGTTCAGGAAGAGATGTAACGCGATATAGGCTTCATGGGACGCTGAATTCAAATACGACTCGTCGTGATTCAGTGTGGACAGTTACGGGGCAGCAGTGCTTGCTGTGGCGAATCTTTTGCATTTGCGCGAAACAAATCGAAATGGCGTTTAGCAATGCTACCACAAGAACCTTCTCTACGTTTCTTCGTAGGAAGAGTTTGACAGGGGTATCTGACAAGTATAAAGCTCTGTGATGAGAAAGAAGACCCGGCGATGTGCGCTTTCGTGCCTAAATAATGTAATATTTGCTTTTAGGGAATCAAGGTGCCGCTGAGGGCAAGTTTCAGCCGCAGTCTGAAGTTCGGAAGAACGTGAGAAGGAATGTATCCTCATGATTCAATAGCAGTCCTAAGGCTCACTTCAGGTGAGTTCTTTTTGTAATTCTCTTTTCCTGATTATCAGTAAAATTGTGAGACTGTGTACTGTTTTCAAGGCAAGCATGCGCTGAGCGTCCCAAATTACTATACAAGACAGATAGCCGATAGCAAGCCAAAGCACTCGGTCATAGCAGGCCAATCGCCTGCCCAGATTCCAAACTCAGGTCAAAATTCCGCAGTTGCACGGAAATTTGACTCCTGAGTTAGTAATGTAAATGCAAGTTAATAATATAAATGCATTAATAATATAATAATATAAATGCATAATACCTTTCTGCAAGGTTTTGTCGCCTTTCCTACGGCATAATCAACCTGTAAAGTTGAAATTACTCATATCAGCAGTGGTCACATTACATGCAATCACCAAATGTTCAGTAGCTGTGGTTTTTGTCTCTAGCGTACTGGACCACAATAACTTATAGTGTCTAGAAAACGTGGTCTGACCCCCGTCCGAAGCCATCGCGTCTATATGAGGTCGGGTCGGGTTTATTTTCCTGATTCCGTCAAGGAAATTGCTCTGCAGTTTCCAAAAACTCACTATGACATGGATACCATCCTGAACAGCTATAGACACCGAATAATTTTACTCGTGAGGTGACAAGTTGACTGTCCTGAAGCGAACGCTAAGTGCGCAAATTGGATCTGCGAAAAAATCATGGAAGTTATGCGGCTTGATCCTGAGCGAGAGTGGCATGCCTTTGTAGACGGCGGTGTGAGCACTTCAGGAGGGAAACATCGCCAACTTTCAGGTGATCACGCTTCGCTTTTTTGATGCTATCTAGTTAATCATATTTCAAGCAAATTCACTGTATTAGTGCAGTCACGCGAAAGTGCAAATTTGCGCTTTATTCTAAGCCACACTTTGCCCACAAATTAGCATTTGTCTCTGCAGATGTATGTTAACTGTGGGGAGTACCCTCTCTATCGTCACAACAAACCACCCTATCCCATTTTTCTGCACTTACCAAACAACTGGCCACAATTTGAATTTCATACCGTTACCCGTTATCACCAAAAAGCACATTTTGTCCAAGATGTCAGGTTTACCAACAGTTCGGTGTCATTCATGCTCATCATGATTTCACGTACTCAAGATTCGGAGCTTCATTGAAATTGACTGAAATATTTTTCTAGATAATGATTGACTACGCTGATGAGAACGATGCGGCGACATCCACTCTCTTTTGTGTTGTTGGCCTATGTGCCAACTTTACTTATTTAATCTGACATTTCGCCTCCAGGAATCAAAAAACCGATGAACGGCAAGTGACTTCTCGGTCCATTCGTTGTGCGGCACTGGGTTGTAGCCACGCTAGGTTTATCAGATGATCTGTCAGTCTGATATATCAGAGGAATCGCTGAAAGCGCGGGTGACCTAGCTGCGACTTCGAGCCTGTATTCAGGTACTCATTCGTGTTCAATACCTATTGTAGAAGTCAGATTAATTATCAACAGGTACTCAGCAAATTGGCATAATGAATGTAGATTATTACCCAAATTTTTCTCCTCGAAGGAAGCTCGAATAGGAGAAAACGTTGAAGGTTGAGGTCTTTCAGTTCAATCATCTCATCATACTGACTACGGAAGAGGCTAGCGTTCTTCACTGTACTGTGGCTGAGATTCTATTACACACAGGCACTCACTGTGATACATTTGTGGCATTAATCATGTTGGTTATGGTATTAATCGGCAGTCGATTCTCTGCCGGGTGTCCCCATCATGTACATTATTTTCGCCCCCAATTTTTTATTTCATGTTCATGTATCATGTTTACCCTACCTTTTTCTGATAAACTCTAACGCTCTATTACTGGAATGTACGACGATCTTTTTGAAGCACCCAGAGCAAATGGACGGCCCGTTCTCGATTCGATAATGGGTTGACTTTTCTAAAGGTGGCAAATCTTACATGGCAGCGTTCAATTTCAACAACCGAACAAGAATTGGATTATCCGAGAACTACACCCAGTCCTTACCGTTCACATCAGATGTTCGACATGCGGTTCACCTGTAATGTTACTTTGGACGCCCTGTAAATCATGCTTATTTCAAGGTCCGTATTTCAACTTCTATGGAAGTTTACTACCGGAAAATGCTAACAAGTGGCAGCGCGTTGAAAAATCTAATCAGTTTCCTGACTACCCTGTCTGCAGCCTCATCTTTTCCAGTTTCTTGATAAAACTCTTTTTTGAAATGCTAATTTGAATTCCAATTCAGGACATTCAAATGGAACCTAATCATAAAAATAATTCTGCATTATCAAAAAAACGACAGTTGTTCTCAATTTACTGCA